TTTAGAGTTCGGTAGTTTTTTTCTTTCTCGTAAATTCAAGAATTCAGCCATTATGGCACAATTACTACACACATTATGTTATTCCGAACACACTCGCTGGACTTGGTAGAAAAATCTCACTTATGAAAAGCGTAATCTCACTTACAAAAGCTTAAACACGCTTATGAAAGATTTATTAAGCGCGCTCAGTACTGTGCTTAGAAATATCGTAGTTTTATTAGTCATTTGAAGTAAATACTGAAAAAATAAGTTCTTACTAAGAGATTAAGTATTTACTGTAAGTATTAGCATTTATTAGTAACTAAAAGCTAACACTTAAGTTTTATTCACCGAAACGTAAGTAATTACTTCAACAACTTGTAGTTTAAGTATTTACTTACTTTATTTCTCATGATGTATTGTCACTGTTATATTGCTCAGTTATGCTATAATCACTTTATTTCGTGACCATTTGATGTTAAATATTAATTTTTGACCATTTGATGTTAATTTAATGTTCATTTGTGACGTTTTAAATTATTACAAATGTTGGTACACAGATGCAAAAATTGCAAATATTTGCACATTTTGAATGGTCTTCACACTTTCTATTATTTAAATTATACTTTTGAAACTATGTTACTTGAAACTGATCTGGACATTCGTAATTTTGCAATATAGAGTAAACGAATTAATTTCAGTTCCCCTAAACCAAATTACCTTACCGAGTTGAGAGGTTTTGACGTATCGCTTTTTAAATTTTATGAAAACATTGAATAAATCTCATATACACTTTTAAGGACAGAAATGTGAAGAAACTTCTCAACCTACACTTGAAAAGTCACCAATTTAGTTCCCCCCTCAGAGGACCTCTAAAAACGCGTCAAAATTCCAAATTGGACAAAAAAGCCAAAAATGTCGAAAAATCTACGAAACGACCTCGAAAAAATGCGACCAAATTTAATTCAACTCCACGGACAACCACCCCAAATATAATAAAAAATTCAAAATTTTATTGAAAATTAATGTAGAAGTAAAATGCCACATGTCAAAATTATCAATCGATAATGGGATGTGAAGTTGCCCACTTCTCTTGTTCTAAACTGCACACGCCTATGTTCATATAACGATGTGATTTGGTATGTACCTAAGTAAATTAGCTATGGGTACTCAATAGTCCATCAACAACATTCATGGTATTGTGTTTATTACTCATTTCATCGTAACGAGATATACACGACCCTCCCAATCTTCAAAAAATTATAATAGGCAACATACATATGTTCTATTTTAATCTGGAAATTGTGACAATCTATCTTCTGAACACCTCTCTAATTATTCTGAAATAGGTGATATTGAACACGCTAAAATTGCGCGTCTGTTTGGCGCAACGTGGTGTGTACGTGTTCTTTTTCTTCTGGCTGTAAATTGAAAAAAATTCAATTTCAAAGATCAGTATAATCAATTTTACTCTTCATTTTACTCTAATAATGTGTGGTTATTTTATAATGTATTTCATGGGTTGTGTTCATGTAATAACGATAAAATTGTCATTGTTTTTTCTTGGGGGAATGTATGTTTCCCATCTGTCATTTATACCACAACAGGAAAGTAAAAAACTACTTGCATATTTTTTTTATGCAGACACATGGTAGATCTGATAACATCACGGAATGCATTGATGAGGTTATGGTCACGTTAAAAGGGAGATCAGCAATGAAGTAATATCTCTATTTGACACCCATAAAGCGGATGTCAAAATGTGGATGAGAAGTCGTGTTTCAAATAGCGGATGCACTTCGGACCTGAATCTGTTGTAGTAAAGAAGTAAAAGTTGTAAAAGGCACACTGGGGGCACGAGTTGTTATGAGATAAGCTGGAAGCATTAGAAACTCTGATCTTCTATATTTACTTTGTCGCTATGGAGTGAAGAGAAAGTTATTCTATGCAGCGCGATAAAACTCGTATTGTCGGTGTAATTATTTCTATCAAAATCATGTTAGGAGGGAGAAGGAATGGATCTTATCCGCATCCCGCTCCGCCCCGCTCCGCCCCGCTCCGGCCCGCTCCGGCCCGCTCCGCCCCGCTCCGCCCCGCTCCGCCCCGCTCCGCCCCGCTCCGCCCCGCTCCGCCCCCTCCGTAATTCCCCGATCCATAATTATTCGAGTAAGAAATTAATATTTTCATCTAGCAAAAGCTGTTAATAAAATTTAAGAAAACCCAAAGGAACTCCGGAAATGACTCACATGATGCATCACGTATTTGCTACCCATAGTCGGAGACAGCTCTTGGACGAAGAACTACAGGCCAATCACGTGTCTGCCAGTACTGTACAAAGTTATAACTGCAGCCATAGTGACAAAATGTCTAGACACCTAGAGAGGAACTATCTATTGCCGGTTGAACAAAAAGGATGTCGTAAAGGTTCTTATGGCTGAAAAGGAACTATTGCTACTAAAGAAAATGATTTTGAATGATGTAAAGAAACGAAATCGTAATTTAAGCGTGGCTTGGGTCGACTAACAGAAGGCCTTTGAAAGTGTACAACACGATGGATTTTGAAGACCCTGGAGATCCATAGATTTCATTCTAAGCTTATTGAGCTTTGCAAGACCAGTCGTGGAGTACCAGGTTAATAATATACAGCGGAAAGGATTCAGTAGATACAAGAAGTATTCAGATCAACGGGGGTATTTTTAAAGGAGATTCGCTTTCCCCTCTGCGTTTTGGATTAGTTTTATCCCACTGTCTAGACAGTTGTAGCACAGTGACTTTAGTTACAAGATCCATGGCGATGAAAGACCAGTATCACATTGTTTCACATGGATTATCTTAAAGTGTTTGCTAAGAATGAAGCCATTCTCTTCGAAATGCTGTCTGTTGTGAATGACTTTAGCAATGACATCTTCATGAAGTTTGGTCTTGACAAGTGTGCAAAAATTAATGTAAAGAGAGGCAAAGTAACAACGTCAGAGAGCATTGAAATTGATATGAATACTGTGATTTAAGCTCTTGAGCAAGGTAAAACTTACAAATATCTGGGCATTGAAGAATGTGAGTCCATCTCAAACGACACAATGAATGAGAGAATTCGTAGGGAGTATTACAGATGAGTGATACTCGTCCTGCAGTCCGCTATGAACTGCAGGAATAAAATATCTGCAATTGGTGGTTTGGCGGTACCTATAGACGAGTACAGCTTGACTGGACTGGACTGGACTGAGCAAGAAATTCGAATCATGGATTGGAAATCTGCAAACAATGCATCATGTCGCCCACCCTCGAGTTGATGTACGTGTACTTTATGTGTCATATAAAAAAGGAGGAAGAGGCCTGAGACAAATTGAAGCTTCCTGGCACAATGCAATAGTCGGGATGGAAAAGTATGTAGTCACTCATCGAAATGACCCTCTAATGAGGGTGGTCATGAAATCTGGCCGAAGAATGGGAAACAGAGGCATTTTATCAAGAAGCATTGCAAAGAAAACTATGGAAGACGCACAAAATAACACAGAGACAGAACTTCTGATACTACTAAACATGAAATATGAGACACAAAAAATGTTAAAGAAATCGTAGAGAGACAAACCATTCCATGAACAATATCTAAAAGGAGTGGACAAGGTGCAGATCAATAAAGATCGATCATTTATGCGGCTTAAAAGGGGAAGAATGAAGCCAAGCATTGAGAGCACGACATTATGATAAAGCGGTTCTCAAAATGTCCCAAGACGATAAATGCCGCATCCGCAAGGAACTAATAGAAACCATTGATCATATCATATCAGCTTGTCCAATTCTGTCAAAGACCAAATACTTGAAAAGACACGATAGAATGTGTAGTTATCTTCACTGGCAGGTCTGTACCGCCCACGACGTTCCAAACACTTGCCCCAAGTGGTACGACCACTCACCAAAACAGAGGTCATCTATTGGACTCTATGAAATATTGTACGGCCAACAAATTCAAACGGATCGCCCCATATCATCAAACAAATAGGATATTGTTATCTGGAATTTGGAGAAAAAATTGTGTCTACTTGATGTTGCTGTGCCTTGCGATCAAAACGTCGTAACCAAGGAAGCAGATAAACGTCTTAAATAAAAGTTATGAAATCGATATCAGTCGAATGTGAAGCGTAAAAGCACAGCTCATACCGATAGTCATCGGAGCTATGAGATTTGTTCCGCAAAATTTGTGTAAGAACATGGCTAAACTCCCAGGTCATTCAAAAGATTGAAAAGTGCAAGAAATTTATTTGCTTTTTTACTGCTAAATGTATAGCTTTATTAGACTCATAACATCTTAGTCACAATCTAGAGAAAATAATAATAATAATAATAATAATAATAATAATAATAATAATAATAATAATAATAATAATAATGTATCATTATTATTAATTTGATACCTTACATATGATATAAAATATATATAATAATAATCAAACACTAAATAAAGTTTTTTAATGGACACAAACGTTAGCTGCCTAATAATTCAAGTTTTTAATAGTTGATTTGTCCCCATCAATCCTACCAAAACGCAGCCATTAACATGAAAATAAAATATTTTTAAAAGCGCCGTGCGTGAAACGCAGTTTCTCATAATAAACTGGAATGTTTTCCATTCTATTTAATGATGTGCGAAAAAGTCAAGAAGCCTTCGTACATGCCGTGTTAAGTAAATGGAATACGCAACGAGTGCGAGATGATTCTTGCACTTGTTACGTAACCTCTTATAGTCTGCCGGATTTCCATTTTGGGAGCAGTATTTTTAAGCTTCTTTAAGATATAATTATCTTATAATTCTTTCATCAGTGCGCTATGTTATTGTTTTTCCATTCATTTTGAATGTCAGTTTTGTGAAGTTTGAGCATTACAGGTCATTTGAATATGGCGCGCTCTTAAGGACAGACCTTTCATCGTAAGAAATGATCGTTGAATTTCTCATACCTTGGTACTGCTTCGTAAATTTCTCATACTCACAAGATGGTGGCAGGAAATGTGACGTCATTCCGTTGTGATGTGACCAGCTGGTGACCTATACCACGTTATTCCAATAGGGGTTATAGTACTTTACAATTTCCGTGATTTCGAGGTAAGAATACTTGTAATATTAGTGTCATTTTAAATTCGGGATTAAATTTATGTACGGGTTAGAGTTGTCTCAGGTTCGTAGAAGCCAAAGCTATGCAGTACCGGTATGTGGTTCCGCAGTGTTTTAATTTTTATAGAAGAAAATATATGCCCTTGACCTTCCTTATTATTATCCCAAAAATATTAAAGTGATTGTTCATTGTTTTTGATGCATTGATTTTAAAATTGGATTGGTGTTTGGCTGTGGAAGGTTACCTTGGTTTGAGGTTATGTGGGTTCAACAGGTTAGAAATAAATTAACACAACTGCCCGAATATATTGATATATTTTATTCCTGATGTATTTTGCTATTTTAAATTAATTAACTTAGAATTTTATTTATTATTATGATAATAAATTCTTGAATTGGAGTGAGTGAAATTGTAAATTCAGCTGTATTATCACTGTTCTAAAAGGACATTGACACAACTGTAAAAATAGCAATTTTGCAGGAGTCTAAAAACAGAAAGCTTTAATATTATGTACTCTGCATTATTGAAATCAGTTTCGTTGGACATTTCCCCAGACCGTAACTTCAATTATCACAATGTTGCCTGTGTGCTCTTCGTTGTCGTACTATCTTTACAGTTAAGACAATTATACAAAATTTTAGTGTTACGGTTATGTTGTTCTAAAACAGCCTGCTTACTCAGAAATGTGTGTTGTACATATTCCCTGTTTACTTCAATAATTAAAATAAATGCATAGTAGCAATAATGCATAAATGCATGCATGTACTGTTTGCCCAAATGTCTCATCAGGATCACTATCAACATGACTTATTATTTGTTCACGGCATGTATTAATATTTTCATAATATGATGTAATGTTGCATTGGCATGAATTACAATACAATGAATTACAATCGAGCATTAAAAGTGCATTTTGTTTAAGAATGCTTAAGCAAAACAATATTTATATTACCTATCACTTTCTGGATTTGAACATTTTATATCAGAATGTTTGGGTAGTTGTTTCAAATTCCCTATTTGTCATTCTTTTGAAATTAATTTTATTTTTACACTGGTAGTCTCTACCACGTGAACGCTTTAATAATGAAATAATGAAATTGTCTTCTTGATCTGGTGCTAAAAGTATTATAGAATGACTTATCACTAGGTCATTTGGAATGTAATTATGTGTTGTTGTTGGGTTTTTTTGGTGAATTTTTCCATGATTTATTTCACCTTTGTCAGGGCTGTATAAAAAATGTAATCTTTAGTAGCACAATGTTTTTATATTTTTCTCATAATTTCCTCTAAAGACAAACTGCAGCTTTTAAATATATATATATATATATATATATATATATATATATATATATATATATATAAATATAATAAAAGAATTGGGGGTTTGGGTTATGTCATTCAAAAATAATGCCCCTCTTCAAAATTATTACTATTGTTTATTTGTTAGTTCAATAATAAATCTTATCTTGGCATGACACAAATCGAATAATTTATTTAATTAATTGGGTACTGTATAGGCACATAGTTAATTAAAAAGATACAGATTATGCCTATCATGAGCATCAGAAAAGAATCGCAGATATGCAGTGAGCTATACTCTAGGATACTTCGACCTTTCCTGTTGGTTAATCCATTTATTTCATAGCGAATGTTTTGCATTACTAGTTGCATAATGTGTGCGTGGGAGGCCTTGATTCTGACGAATTACGATATGAGAGAGAGAAAGAGGATGACTAGCTATTTTAATTTCCTATAGTGCAGGTTTCAATATTAAATGTTGCAAATGGTATTTTTATATTTTTAATCATTTATTAACAAATGAGTGAGAATAATTTTTTATATCGAATGAAATATTGAATGAAATGTCAAGTAATATACAATTTTATTTTGAGTAGATATACTAAATTACTGTTTTGGGTTAACATATTTAATAATTTTTTAGCAAAAGGTGCCTGGGAAAGAAAAAAAAAATTGAAACCCTGGTTTAGAGGGAATATTTTAATTTGGTTCAGTTTAATTGTATTTGATGTGATTTAATTAATTTTTGTGAAAGTACCATAAAAACTGTGTGGGAGGAAACTACTGTAATCTGTGCATGTCTTTTTCATCTCCAGCATCTCTTTCCCACCCTTTTTCTAAACATAGTTGGCTAATGAATAGATAAGTAACTTGTGCAAGAGTGTGACTTTGAATAGGTGCGCATAAATATACATGAAAAGTTGCATTTGTGCATGTTGCATCATGTCTGTAAAAATCGTTTATTTTTTATTTTATTGATTAAATTATAAATTGAATTTATGTATGAGTTAATGTAATGATGTTTCATTGAAATAATGTTTTAATATCGGTGATGATACACAATTAAAGCTTTGGAGAGAGATTGTTTAAATCTTTTTGTGAGGGTGGCAAGGATTTAGTTAAGGAAAGGGCTTGGGGATTAAAGTGTAAATTACAAATCAATATTTCAGTAAATTGGCTACACAATCTTCAATAGGATTATTTTTATTTCAAGAGTGTGGTAAAATGTGCTAATTTGTCAATTACTGTCACAACGTTACTGTAAAGTATCACATTTTGTTGATATGATAGTGTCGGTACCTCAAGTTCGGGATTGAAGAACATTTTTTGTGAAGGTCATGAATGATTTACATAAAATGTTCACTCAAGCGTCCTCAATATGAAATTCTGCTTATGTCTCTGCCAAAAGGGCAATTATAGTGTTTGATTGTGAAGGATAGGGCTTCGATGATTTCTCGGGAGTTCTGGGAAATATATTATGAAACTACAAGAATAAATGTGAAAAAAATCCATTCCATAAAATTTAAAAATCTCCTCTTATTATCAACTATAGAATTTATAATGGGAAAAAAAATTGTTCAAAATTCCGTCAAGTGAGAAATTCATTACTAGATCCTCGTCTTCTCCTCTCCAAGCTCACAAGAAAGCAAGTAATTTTTTCAAGACACTGAATTGGCCATTTTAATTTCAGTTATTTATATTAATTTTATATTAATAATATTTAGTTAGTATATTAATATCAGAGTCACAGTTATTTATTTAAAAAGACAAGTCCAGATCCATGTCCAGTTTGTTGTGAAATTATTTCTACATCCCATTTACTAGTTGAATGTCCTTTCAATAGAGATACGAAGAAAAACTTCGAATTTGTTACAGATATCCGTTTATTAAATTCTACTTCACAGTGCCACAAAGCGATTGAATTTCTATGTGTTGCAAAATTTTATTTATTTATATATATATTTATATGTATCTTTTATTGTTAAAAAATTTCAATGTTTGTAATATTGAATGTTTTAAATTGATATTGGGCAATGATATGAAAGGTGTATCAAAAATTTACATTTTCTTATAATGTAAAATTGTAAATCGGATTGTGATCACTTATGACCACAAAGTTGCACAGCAAACTAAAATGAAATAAAATAAAATGAAAAAAACAACATTTTTTGTGAGAAGGCAATATTGTCAACTGTGGCGTTGCAAACACTATTCTTATGCAGACATCTTTGTTGTCTTCTTAAATTATTATTGTTATTTTTGTTTCTGTTCCTTTTTATCATGGTCATATAGTGACCATTGTGATTGAACTGTAGGGGGAAGTGTACGAATAATACGCAAGGGCAACGCGAATACACACAAACATTCATGCCTGAAGCAGGATTCGAATCCGCAACCCTTCGAGCACAGGCTTTTGTGATGTTTGCTATCCACACCAGTCTTCTTAATTTTTAATCAGTGTCATCAAATGAAAAAGAAAACTATTGATAATATGTAAGGTTAATTGAAAACAACATAGTGCAATATATCTTGGTAGAAAAGCAATTGATTGATGCAGTCTCATTCTTCAAGGTTCAATAATTTAATGTAGATTAAATTCCCGCAAAGTGCTATTGTGGTGTATTTTCATCGAAATGGAAGGTATTTCTAGAATGTATCTCAAAGATAGCAGTGACTGATCTAATTGAAAGGAAATGAAAGTATGATTTTATAAATTTTTTATGCCTTGTATGATTTGAAATGACATTAATATTTAATCAAACTAAGCACTGCACTCTTGTAAGAATGAATCATTCTGTAACTGTTTTGGTTTTATGGTAATGTTGTCTTTTTCATAATTTAATATGTGATTATTGATCAATTTTTAAAAACATTTTTAACATATTTCTTTTCCTGAACAGTTCTTATATAAACAATTTTGATGCTGTGAGTCAATTCATGAAATATTAAAAACTATTTGTTAAATTAATTAATGTGTAATAACTTATTTATGTAATTAAGATACATTTTAAATAATACAGAATTAAAATATGAAAAACTTGCAAATGCTAACTTGGTGCATTGAAGCAGTTTTTATTTTTTTCATTTACGATATTAACACATTATCATGGAAAAATACTCTTTTTAACATCAAAATATAATTATTTTTCTAGTAGAATGATAGGTTATTTTTATTAAATGTTATTAAATTGATAGGTAATTTAAATAATTTTTCAAATAATGATTGGCCTGAAAAATTGAAGAATACAATGAGAAGTGGAATTGCTTTTATCTCGAATTATACAATGGGACCCGTTATCATTTCATTTATCATTATTGTCACCAAACTTTACAGTAAATGGTTACATTATTAGTGCAAATGTTTGACAGGATATCTAATGTAATATCAATATGAACCCTAAATAATTCTATTCAATACTAATTGTTTGTTTTTATTACAGAAAAAATTAATTTTATCCTGTTTTAAATTTTTGGAAATTAGGTTTTTTTATCGTGCATCCTTTGATATTCATATAATTATTTGTGCACATTAATGACATTTAAGATAATAGTAATTGTGCACAGATGTTTATGATCAGAAATGATGAACTTTACTAATATTATCCGTTGTCACCGAAATTTGTCTTTGGGTGTTTTCTTTTGTTATTGAGCTTCAAAAAGATGAACAATATTTTTCTGCGATGCATGGTTG